TGGGCTGCACTGACTTGTCTCCTGTCAGGAAGGGAGGCGGCTCAGGAGCCGTGCTGGCTGCCAGCAGAGCGGTAATGAATTCCAGATCTTGCCCAAGCGACGGAGGGCGGGCCGCCGGCCGGCCGCCGACTGTCCCGGCGGAGGGTGTGGCGTGGCTGGCTGGCAGGCCGGCGGAGCTCCCCGCAGCCCGTCATCCAAAGGGGCCCCCCAGCCCCGGGCCCAGGCGGGGGCCGCAGTTGTGCTTCGGCCCCCGTGCTCTTGGTCTCCTGGGTTGCAAATCGAGGCAAAGGGCAGGCATGGCAAAGGTGCCCCTGAAGGCCTGACACTGCCCTGCTTGCTGGGGATGATGGCCAGCTCCCCAGGGATCGCTTCCAGGCAGCCAGTGGGGTTCCCACTGCCCCCGAGGGAAGGAGATGGGCACCCACCCCGAGCCGCCTCGGAGTGGCAGAGGGCCGCTCTGTGGCCGGCTGCGAGAAGCCCAGAAGCACCGTTCTGGCGGCTGGGCAGGCCTGTGCCAGGCTCTCCCGCCCCCCGGCTGGGTGCGGGGCCCGGGGGTGGCCAGGATTGTCCAGGGCCTGGCACCTCTCGGGCGGGGGTGGCTGACGTGGCCTGTGGCAGGCCACCTTGGGCCAGGCGTGCTCTCCTGCAGGCATCCACCACCGCAGGATCGCAGGATTGTGAGCGACTGCTCCGCCCAGGCAGGCAGCCCCTTGCCCGGGGCTAGCGGGGCGGGGGCCCGAGCACAAAGCAGCTGGGCCTGGCCGGCCAGCTGCCCCAGCTCCGAGCCCCGCTCTGGGGCTGGGCAGCGGGCCCCGGAGGAGGGGAGTCACAGGGAGGGTCTGCACCAGCCCCCAGCCCCCAGCCGGGCTCGGCAGGAGCCGCGCAGGAGGGGCGGGATCCCGCGTGGCTGTGGGGCGGCGGGGGCGCCGGCGCTGGGGAGGTGGGCGGGTTCCGCAGGGGCCCTGCCTCTGACGTGCCGCTCCCCACAGCGACCTGCCCCTGCCGTGGAGCACCTGGTCGCAGCGCTGCAGCGGCACCGACCGGAGCAGCTCGCCCGGGAGCATGGAGAGCCTGGGCCGGTGCAGCCAGACCCGCTTCGAGGGCAGCCCCTCCCCTGTTGACCAGGCCGCAGAGCAGGACAAGCGCGACTCGGCCTACAGCTCCTTCTCCGCCAGCTCCAGCGCCTCCGACTCCGCCGGACGCCCTGAGGAGGGGGCCTCCACCAACGGCCCCCAGCCGGGCCAGCCCCTGGACCCACGCTACCTGCAGACGAGCGTAGAGCCCGCCGTTGGCCCCCGGTCGGCCCCCGGGGCCCTGGCAAGCCCATTCCCCCGGGCGGCCACCACGCCGGCCACCCCTCCCCGGCCCCCTGTGAGGCAGGACAGCCTGCGGGCCTGTCCCCCGGAGGCACCCAAGGCAGACCCCCTGCACCCCAAAGGCCGCTGGACCTCGGAGAGCTCCCTGTGCACGCAGGACGGAGGCCCCCAGGGGCTGGGTGGGCCCTCGGCTCCGGCCGGCATCCCCAAGGAGTCTCCGCCCACTGAGCAGTACTATCTTCTGAGCTCCCACACTGAACAGCACCCGCCCATGGAGAAGGGCGTCCCCGGCAAGGAGTCCCCTGTGGAAGGAGGCAGGGGGCCCACCTCGGAGGAGCCGCCCTGGCCGGCAGGTAGCAGCGATCTCGGCCCTGAGGCCGGGGGCCGGGAGGGGGCCTGGCCTGGGCAGCTGGCTCACCGGCACAGTGCCCCAGAGCAGCTGCTGGCTGCCCAGCTCGAGATGCTGCGCACGGCCCCCAGCCGGGGGGGGGGCCCGCTGGACACGCTCCCCGCTGCATGCCGAGCGCTGCGGCGCCCAAGGGCTGGGGCTGTGGCGGAGCCAGGACTGCAGCCCCCGGGGCTCCACGGGGCAGGCAGACGAGCTGGGCCCGGGCCCAGGCCCCAGCAGCCGAGAGGGCTCCCAGTCGCCACGGAGTGTCCTCAGTGTGCCAGAGAGACCCCCGAGCACCTCGGGCGAGGGGCTGCCCTCCTCGTCCCTGCAGCCCGTGGGGGAGGCTTGCCCGGGCCCCTGCGCAGCCCCCAGTCCAGAGGCCCTGGCGGAGGGGGGGCGGGCGGGGGGCCCGGGGAGCAGGAAGGGAGGCCCGGCTCAGCACCGCTCCGCCCAGATGCGCCGGCACAGCAGCCGCTTCGCCACCAACCTGCGCAACGAGATCCAGTGGAGGAAGGCGCAGCTCCAGAGGGCAAAGGGTGCGGCGGTGCTGCTGTGCGGGGAGCAGGCGGTCCCGGAGGCGGAGGAGGCCCCCGACGTCCCCCCCACCCCCTCTCCGCCACCCCCCTTGCGGGAAGGCAGGGCACTCAGCCCTGCTCCCCCCAAAGAGGTGCCCCCCCGGCGCTGGGGCTCTGAGCTCAGCGTGTTCGGGGCGGAGGACTCCCCTCTCCACCCGAGCCGAGTGGGCCCCCCCAGCCCCGAGCCCCTTTGGCCAGCCCCCTTGCCGGAGCATGAGCCGCCGTGGAGGCCTGCGCAGCCCGTGCCGGCAGGGGGCCGGGGGGGGCGCTGGCGGTGGTCGCCGGAGCACAAGCTGCAGCCACACCGGGGCAGCCTCCTGGTGGCGGAGCCCTCTCCCCCTCCCCAGCCCCCGGAGGACTCCGGCCTGCTGCCCTTTGCAGACCGGAGGAAGTTCTTTGAGGAGACCAGCAAGCCGGCGCCCCCCACGCACCCCAGCGGCCCCCCCCGGCGCCCGGGCGCTGTGCCGCCTCCCTGGGCCAAGGGGGAGAAGGGCTTCCAGCCGGTGGGCTCCGAGCGCTGGGAGTGGCGCCGGCCCTCTCTCGAGCAGGCCTGTGGGCCCCCAGCCGCCCCGCTGGGCTGCCAGGACTTCTGTGCCGGTGGGCCGGGGCTGTGCCAGCCGCTGGCCCGGCACGGACGGGGCTGCGAGCCCTGGCACCCCCCGCCCTGCCCCTGCCCCTGCCCCGCCTGGGAGGCCTGTGCCTGCTGCCGCGGGGACGTGTGTCCAGCCTTGCCTCAGCGGAGCCTGCCCTCCGGCCACTGCGCCCACCACTGCCGCCTGCGCCCGTGGACCCGCTGCTCCGACTGCTGCCGCCCAGTGCAGCGCCTGCCCGTGGACGAGGGGCCCCCCTGGCTCGTGACGGTGAGTGGCCCCGGGCGTGCCGGGGGTGAGGCTGGGCCTGGGAGGGGCTCTTTGCGTGGCTGCCGGGCCGTGCGTGGGGGCCCTGGATTGCAGGGGCGGGAAGGTGAGCCCCGTGCATCCGCCGGGTCCCCCCGCCCGAGCCGGCACGTTCGGGAGCCAGCGCGCATCCCCAGGGACTACGCGTGGCGCAAGTGACTCCTCTTGATGCAGAGAAGAGCGCAAGGGGGCACATGTGCCGTGGCTCGGCGGTGGTGGCACGGCCACGCCGGGGTCGTGCGGCGATCTGCTGGTGATCCGTTGCGCGTGCATTGTTTGGCGGCTCCAAAACAGGATGGGGCGGGCGTGTTATGTAACTGCCACATTCCTTGAGCTGGACAGGGAATCACGGGCAACAACGGGAGGATGTATTTCGATCTTGCGCACGGGTCTTGTCATGTTTTTGCTTCCCTCGGCAGGAGTTTCCTGTGGAGGAGTGGCAGCCCCCCACCCTTGGCCGGAAGGGCAGCCAGCGGAAGAGGCGAGCAGGGGCGGGGGCGGGTGCTCGGCGCTGGTCCCCAGGGTCCCGACCTGCCACAGGCCCAAGGGCCTGGGGGGCGGTGGATCTCCCAAAGAGTGGATTCCTTGCAAAGAGAGGCCGGCCGGCTGAGCGTGCCGGCACCTCTGTTGGCGCAGCCTCTTTCCCAGGGCCAGGGACTCGCCAGCAGGCCAGGCCTTGGCCGAAGAGAGCCCCGTGGCTGAGCTCGGCTGTGCCCCCTTTCCCAGGGACACGGGGGCCTTGCAGTTGGGCCCCTGGGCCGCCGCACTGCGGCATTGCGCCCCTCCAGCTCATCCCCTTGCTTTCTCCGGCAGTGAGTCGGCGCAGCGCACGGCGGGCTTTGCCCGGATGGGCCCCTTCTGGCCCTGCTGTGAGAATGTGGAGCCCCGATGGCCACCCTGCTGCCGTGCCGGCTCGGCCCGCGACCTCGCATGGGGCCCCGACCGGCCGGGGCGAGCCGCAGAGAGCTTGGCAGATGAGGAGGGGCCCGGCAAGCGCCCCCTGCGTGAGAGGGCCTACTCGGAAAGCCACCTCTGCATGGAGCGGGCCCGGCCTCCTGGGAGGGAAAGGCGAGAAGCCCCGCTGGCCGAGTTGGAAGAGGCTGGACCAGAGCCGCCCCGCGCGGCCAGAAGGAGGGGCCCGCCCCCGCCCCGGCCCCCGCCCCCGAACTGGGAGAAGTACCACCCCCGCCGGGCCTCGCACGACCAGCTGCTGCTTTCCAAGCCGGATCTGGCTGCCCACCTGGAAGACCCCGGGGACCTGCACCAGAGCCGCGGGGACGCGTCCCGGCAGCGGTCCCAGAGCCTGCCCCTCGAGCGCCTGTGGAGCGAGGCGGCCCCGCTGCAGCCGTCTCTCGGGGACACTGGGGTTCCGGCCCCTGTGCGCCCCGGGGCCCCGCCGTACTCCTGCTGCGGCTCAGCAAGCCGGGCCTCGGAGTGGCCAACGCCGGACGTGAGCGAGAAGAGCGACTCCTCCAGGCAAGGCGTCCTGCGTGCTGCTCCCTGCGGTCTTGGCCCCGGAGCGGGGGCAGGGCAGGGCCAGGCTTGGCTCGGCTCTGCTCGGCTCTGCTCTGCTCGGCCTGCTGGCAAGAACGGGGTGCCCACGGGCGCGCCAGGTCCATCTGCAACGGGAGTGCGTGCTGATTGTGCACTTCCACCTGGCCTCAACAGGAGGTGCCGAGGCGCGGATCGGGAGCGGTGCCGAGTGCATCTGGCGGGGGGCCGGAGTGGCACGCGCGGCCCAGGGGGCGGGGCGGGGCGGGGGCTGCGGCACAGCCTGCCCTCACCTGGAGCCTGCTTCGTTTTGTGCTTCCAGGCCGTGCAGCTCCCTGGAGGAGGAAGCGGCCCCCGAGCCCCCGTGGGAGAAGGACCCGTCTGGCGGGAAGTCGGAGCAGCCCCGGGCAGGCGCCTGCAGCCCGAGTGAGTCCGGCTCCCCGTTGCCAGCCCGCTTTCCATCTCCCCGGCAGCTTCCCTGCCTGACGTGCCCCTCCTCTCCTGCCTCTTCCAGCTGCTGAGGACCCCACTCGGGCAGGCAGTGAAGGAGAGGGCAGCCACCTGAGCCCGGCCGGGCCACTGCCGCCGCTCCGCTTGAACTCCGAAGAACTGATGAGGGACGTGGCGGGGAGGGACCGCTCCCTGGCCGGCGTGCTGAGCCCCGCCATCGGGCTGGTGACTGCCGCCGAGCTGATGGGCGACCTCTTCTCCCCAGGCGGGGGCCCCGCCTGGAAGGGGCAGGAGTGGCCCCTGCAGGCAGGAGGCCTGCCGCTTCCCCAGAGGTAGGCTCTGCTGGGCCCTGGGGGGGCGTGCGGGAGGCCACCCCACCCCAAGCCGGCCCTTGATCCTCCCAGCCCAGGGCCATCCGTGCCACCCGCACCCCATGCAAGGGGTCCAGAACCTGGCGTCCAGGAAGCACCAGGGCGACCTGAGCCAGTCGGGTGCCTCAGCCTAGCCCCCCCCCCCCGGTTTCCTGGGGCCTAGCAAGGGTGGCTGGGAGGCTGGGGTGTATGGGGCTGATGCTCCCTTCCTTTCTGTGGGGAGCACCGATTCTCTCTGGAGCTTTATCATAAAGGGCAGCGCCCCACGTTCTTAATCCGTCGCTGCTGCTGGTTTCTGTGCAATGCTGCGGTGAGAGAGCAGGCCTGCGGCTTGGGGGAGCCGGGGTCTCGCCCCGCTTGTGCATGGCCCTGCCTGTCACCCCGGCTTCCCTCACGCAGCTGCTGTGGGGCTGAGAGTGGAGGGAGGGGGCGCTGGCTCCCTTGATCCCCCTGGACTCTTTGCCAAGGCAGTGGGCAGCAATGCAACAAAGAACCTCATTAGAGGTATTTTTAGCCTAAATGTCACAAAAGGTATCCATAATGCAAAACTGAAACAAAGAATTCAGTTGTTCTCTGTTCTAGAATGTTTATGATCAAAAGGAAAACATCTCTTTAATGCACAGGCAAACAATGGAGAAGGGCCGTACGCGTAACATTCTAGCAAACCGTGATCACTGGGGCAGCATTTTGAGATGCTGTAAGTGGTCAGGAATCAAAAGCCCTCTGGGACACCCTTTTACACTTCTAAAAGTCTGGCCTTCTTCACTTCTGTTGACATCTGGTCTTCCTCGTCTTAGAAACAGTCATTCTGCCCACTTTTGCACAATGCAAAGCCTGATCTGCCGTCCCATTTCTGTCCCACTGCTTGCGTGGCTCCACGCTGCACACCAGAGTCCTTCAGTCTGGTCCTCCATGATGCTCTCTGTTGATTTAGGCGCCCGAGCCAGCCTGCTTCCCCAGCCTGCGGGGGCGCCGTCAGCCCCACCTCCTGCTCGGCCTATTACAACCTGTCCGCAGGCAAGGCCGAGCTTCTCAACAAGATGAAGGAGCTGCCGGAGTCGGCTGCCACCAGCTCAGAGGAAGAGGAGCTTGACCACGACCTGGCTCAGAAGAAGGTGAGTGGGCAGGGCTTCCCATGGGCTCTGGCTGCTCCTCGTCGGCCCCCTCGAGCCAGAGGAGGTGTCAGGAGGAGAGCCGGCCGTTGGCCATGATGGCTCGGGCAGGACTGCTCCTTGCCAGGCACCTTGTCCATCTCTGGGAAGACTTTTGCAAAAACAGCCCCTGTTGCCACCCGCACAAATGTGAGCCCAAACTCTGGGCCCTCTCAAGCTGAAACCTGCCAATGAATTCAGTAAAGACGGGTCGTGCTCGTGGGTTTGTATAACGTGCTCCTTCCAGCCATAAATAGAGGGAAAAGGTGCACTGAGACTGAAACTCCTCTGGACACCTGGGGATCCTGCTTGGTGGTGTTGCCCCCCACTCCTCCTCTCTGCTGGGGCTCCTAGGACTTCACCATGCTTTGCCATGAGGGCTAGAATCATGCACTTCATTTAAATAAAAGATGAAAACTGAGACCCCCAGGGTGCTGATTCCGTCCCCAAAGGCAGTGCAAAGCTCCACCCTGTCTCTTTATGCTACTTGAAGTATGATTTTGCCTGGGAATGGGAGGGGCCCTCTTTGGACATGGTGGGGAGCCCAGTTCCCTGCTGGAGGAGCAAGTGAGATGGAGTAAACCCTCTCGGGTACCTTTTTGTTTGTTGATGTTGCTAATGGACTTTCACTCCCTCTCAGCTTTTTGCAAGTTTTGCCCTCTTCTGTGCCTGGCAAAGGAGGGTTTGGCACGTGGGTCGGGTGTGAAACACCCACCTCGGCTCCCCCTGGGGTCCCACAGGGATCACCGAAATGCTGAAGAGGAAGGCCTGCCTCATGCAGGCAGGAAGGTGCTGCTTTATGGTGTGCCAGGGGGTCTGTGGAAGCGACCTTCCACCGGCCAAGATCCTGGCCTGTTCCAGGACTGCGCGTTGCCAGCACTTGTCCTAGTTGCTCCAGGAAATCCCGGGGAAGCAACTTGGCCGAGACGCCCTTGTTAAAAAGGCCAAGCGTGGCTCCCAAGCAGCAGATCCATGGGTAGTTGAGCTGGAAGGGGCAGCTGGTCGGCACAGACCAAAGCAGGTCACGTCGATTGTGCCTTCTTGCCACCCCAGCCAAGCTGTCGCTCACCGGGCCTTGCCTGCACGCCTCCGCTTTGCAGAAGCAGCTGATCGAGAGCATCAGCCGGAAGCTGGCGGTGCTGCAGGAGGCCCAGCGGGGCCTGCAGGAGGACATGAGGGCCAACGTGGCCCTCGGCAAGGAGGTGGAGGGCCACATCAAGAGCGCCTGCAAGCCCCATGAATTCGAGAAGTTCCGCCTCTTCATTGGGGACCTGGACAAGGTCGTCAGCCTGCTGCTCTCCCTCTCGGGCAGACTGGCCCGTGTGGAGAACGCCCTGGGCGGCCTGGACCCGGACGCCATGGAGGAGAAGGTAGGCAGTAGCTGGGGAGGGTGTGGGGGGGTCTGCGGGGGGGGGGGGGCATCGGCAGGCCACCTCCAGGACCCAGGGTGGAGACGGGCCCCTTTGCAGCCTTGGTCGTCATTCCCCCTTCTGGGGGCTTCTATCACGGCCACGGGAGGCCAGGTTTTGCCACGGCCCCAGGGAGAGGCCGGACACTCGGGCGGCTGGCTGGATCCCAGTTAACAAACTGGCGTTAGGCGTTCTCATCCCCTGCCAGGGAGTTTCTACAGCTCAGGAAGCCTGAGCTGCCCATTCGCCCCCCCCCCCCCAAATTTGGGCATCATATCAGGATTGTGCCTGATGGCGAAATGTTGCCCTCCTTGCTGCTGCTGCTGCTGCTGATTCCAGCTCAGCTCTGCATTTAGCACAGCTGCGCAACAGTTGCCTCTTGTTCAAGGACAGCAGAATCATGCCGACCGTGAGGGTCAGCCGTGGCCTTCGCACTTCTACAGGGCCGGCTTTAGACCGACTGGCTTAGTTTGGAGGAAAAGCTGTGCTGGCCTTCAGTCAGGAAGCTGTTTCCAATCCCAGTCGGAGGCTGCACCAGTTCCTGCTGGAATCTCCCCACCGCCCTTGCAGCTCGGCCCCCAGAGGGGCTGCTCACTGCAGGGGTGCCTGCTGGGCCAGGTGCTTGGGGGCCACGGCTTCCTGCTGCAGCAAATGGGCGCATGGCCCGTTCAGGACTAGAAGCAGGGTCCTGGTCGAGGCCAAGAGCTTTTTTGCCAGCTGGCGCCTCTTCGTTGGAAAAGTGGCCAGCGGAAAAGCGTGCGCTTGCCCTGCCTTATCTCTGTGACGCTGCCCCTTCGGGTTGCTGGAAGCACCTGGACGAGAGACCAGAGGATCCTCAGCCAGCCTTTGGGGGTGAGGGAGGGAGGCTCCTCCCCCTGATTCTGGGGGGCTCTGCTTATTCTGTGGCATGCCGTGCTCAGCCTTGGCAGGGCCAGCCCCCCCCCCCCGGGGGCCCTCCTTTGGTGGCTCCTTCGGGCAGAGCCCTGTGCGAGCGCAGGCAGAAAGCGCTTCCGCACGTCCCGCGGTCCCTGCCCGGCCCCGCTGCAGGGGTTTTTTCTGCCTCGCTACTCGCAGGGTTGTGCCTTGCTAGGCCGAGGGGCCGGGGCTTGGCGGCTTGCCCAGAAGTGGAGCGAGGCAGCCCGGGTGGGTGGTGAGCCCCTGAAGGGCCTCTCCCGCCCGCCCTCCCAGGATCCCACTCGCAGGGCCTCTGGGACACCCCCCACTTGCGGAGCGGGGCCCAGATGCGCCTGGTCCCCTGAGCCAGGCTTGACGCCTTCCTCTCCCCGCCACCCTCTCCGAAGCTGGCCTTGCTGGAGAAGAAGCGGCAGCTGGCCGCGCAGCTGGAGGACGCCAAGGAGCTGCAGGAGCACGTGGCCCGGCGGGAGCGCCTCGTCTTCGCCTCCGTGTCGCGCTGCCTGCCCGGGGAGCAGCTGCAGGACTACCAGCACTTTGTGCGCATGAAGTCGGCCCTCGCCATCCAGCAGCGGCAGCTGGACGACAAGATCAAGCTGGGCCAGGAGCAGCTGCGCTGCCTGCGCGAGAGCTTGTGCCGTGCGCCCCGGGAGCACTAGCGGCCCTTCCCGCTGGCGTCAGGAGGGCCCCCTGGCCCCTCGCTTCCCGCCCGTGGGGCAAGGAACGGCCGTGGCCAAGGACCGCCGTGCGGGCAACTGTGCCCCCCCTCCCCGCCCCTCGCCGGTGGGGGCGGCTCGCCGAAGTGCCCGTGGCCGGGTGACCGCGCCTGCAGCCACACAGAAGGCGTGCGCTGGACTCCGGAGCCTCGCTGGACGGTCGGTGATGCACAGACAGTCCTCCCGGGCCTCGCCGGCTGCGAGGGCTGGGCTGACTTGCTGCTTTCCCTCTTGGCTGGCCAGCACCCGGAAAGGCACCCCTGCCCTTGCCAGTGGGGGCACTGCCACAGTGCCCCCCCCCCGGGCAGGAGGGCCCGCTTGCCCCTTGCGTGCTTGATGCACCCTCGGGACGCTCCCGCCCCCCTGGCCCGGATTTATTTATTTTCCTGCCGTGGTTTAACCCTTTGCGCGTTTGGCTTCAGTGAGAGGTGGTGCTGGGGGCAGGACTGGCAGGGGAGGCCTCCCATGGGGGCGCCGCACCCCGTGCTGCCCGCTGGGCCCAGGCCTGCCTGGCACACAGGGCCCGCAGGACAGGAGAACTTCTGGCTCGCCCCTTCCGGCCGCCGCTGGAGCGCTGCGGGCTGCGTCAGCCGTGGCCATTTCCCCCCTTCCACGCAGGGGACATGTTTGCAGGCTGTCGCATCTGCGTGGTCGCCATCAAGTGGCGAGGGTTCCTCTCGGCCTTTCCAGGGACTGCTGCCCTGGTCCCCAGGCACTGGCAAGAGCTCTGGCTCCCTGCAGGTCTGCGGTGGTTTCCTGGAACGGGCCTTGCCCTCCCAGGCCCAAGGCAAAACCCTGCCCCATCGGGGCACGAGGCCTCGGCGGGTGGGAGGCCTCAAGGGGGGCACCTCCCAGGCTGGCCTGGGGGCGAGCGAGCCCCCTCCGCTGCCCCCTCCCTCGACCCGTCTTGGCCGGCCTCCCCTCGAGCACTGGGCAGTCGCGTTTGGGAGGCCACGGCTGCTCGCCCGCACATCAGCCTGGGCTTGCAGGAGCCGGAGCCTGGCTCTGCTGGCAGGATGCCCCTCGAGGGGGACCTGAGAGTTGGCTGCAGTGCCGGAGGAGTTAATGGGTGCGCTCCCTTCCCCCTCCCGCAGGGCCCCTGCACGTGTAGCCAGAGGAATGTGCTGGACGCCGGCCAGGCATTCCGGCCCCAACATCCTCTTCTGCATTGTGTTTGGAGGGATGCTGGAGCGACTGTGTTGCGTGGAGCCACTTTCTGACCACACGGTCTCCAGGGCAGAGTCAGCTGCTGCCCTGGGAGGGGGTCTCCCAGCTGGAGTGGGCTGGCTTGCGGCCTGGCAGGGTGGGCTGCCTTGTGCCAAGGGGAGAGCTGGAGCTGGGTGTGAGAGGAGCCCTTCCCTTCTGGGGCCCCCCAGGCGGCCCTCCGAATCCCCCCAGCCCCAGCTGTGCCCCCACCCAGCCTCTGCCACCTGGGGGAAGCTGCTTGGATCCTGCTCGCCTTGAGGCCTCCCTGTTCCTTAAGGATTCTCGCACCTGCCTGGGGAGAGATGCCCATCCTTGCTGCTGTCCCCCCCCCCCCGCCCGGCCACAGGGATGGCTAAGCAGCTGCCCCTGCTGCCCCCCAGCATCCCCTTGAAAATCCTAGGCAGGGCCCCCCTCCGCCCAGGCGGAGGTGCATCTGAAGAAGAAAACAGCTCCCTGAAACTTCCTTTCAGGAAACATCCAGGCAGGAAGCACTCTTAGTTCTGGTCTGCGGCCAGGGAAGGAGGACTCGGAACGGCTTCCAGACTGGGGAAACATTCCTGGAATCGGCATGTGAAGGAGCAGCCAGTCCTGCGGGAGCAGCTCCATTGTTTCCCAGATCTTCCATTCCAGAACCACCCCCTGCCCCCCCCCCGAGGAGCTGCCGCCGTTGACACTCCCCCTCCCCGGCCTGTGCCCCCGCAGCACTCGCATGCCGGGCTGAGGCCGCATCCTGGGGGCGCGTCTCCACGTTCGACGGCCTGCGGGGGGGGTGCTGGCACTCGGAGCCCCGCGGGGCACTTTGGATCCTGCACGACCGGAGCAGCGCTCAGGCTGTGTGGAGGCGCTTCGGGCACGCTCGCTTGCTCGCTCGCTCGCTCGCTCGCTCGCTCCTGAAAAGAGCCTGCACCAGGCCGAGTGGCTTTGTGGCTTGGCCCCGGCTTCCGTGGGCAGTCGGCTTTCATCTCTGCCCCTTGTGAGGGTCGGGCGGTGCTTGCGAGACCCGCGAGGCCAGAGGCCCACATGGTAGTGCCTCCTTGGGCTGCCCCGTGCGACCCTCCTCATTTCGGATCCCTGGCTGCATGCCCTCCCCCGCTGCTGTCAGAACCTGAAGCAGGTGAGAAAGTCTCTGGGGCAGCTGAGCGAGGAAGTGTCCTGTGTGCCTGGGAGGCTGCCGCTCCCCAGCCCCTCTCCCCATGCCCCCGGCCTCCACCTTGAGCGGCCTGCCAGGGAGAGTGGACAGCACCCTCCCTCCCACTTTTCCAGCTGCAGGCCCCACGCATTTCTGCCCCCCCCCCCCCCCCCCGCCTGTCCCTCTTGCCATTCCGGGCTGAGCTGAGCATCCGGCCCTTGCCCAGGCAGCGCCTCCTCGGTGCCAGGGGAGCTCAAGTGCCAACGCGGCGTGTTGCTATGTTATTAAGCACATGTATCGCTGTGTATAATTTTCTACTTCCTACACACTACAGAAATCTATGGTTGCTGTCCAGCATTTCCCCAGCAAGATATTTTCATTCATTTCTGGAGGTGTCGACGTCTGTTTTGGCACTGCCTCTGCCCGCTTGTGCCTTGGATGTGGGTGCAATTGTGGGGAAGGGGGAGGTGGGAAGGGACAGAATCACACGTTGCATTAAATGGTGCTAATGGTAACCAGCTTCTCTGGGTCCAGCCTGGTCATTCCGCTCGGGAGAAGGAGGCAAGGCCCGGCAGCAGCCCGCCTGGCCCTTTGAGGCTCCCCGGGCGGGCCGCAGTGCCAAAGGGTGAGACTTGGAGGCGCGGCGGCGGGGGGTGTGCGCATCGGCTGCTGGTGGGGCCGCCGAGCCCGAGCCCGAGCCGCTCGAGTGCCCCGCTTCCTCCGGAGGGGCCTTTGCGCCCGCCAGCTCTGCTCCCGTGGCGGAGGCGGCCGGCAGGGGGCTCCCGAATGCCGCCGCTGGCGGGGCCGATGCCGGCGCGCAGACGAGCGCGGGTCCCGGGGGGCGGCGCGGCCTCCGCGTGCCGGGCTGCTTGTCGCCGCAGTTGCGCGAGGAGCGCGCCCGCCTCCGGGGCTTCCTTGGGCGATGCGCAGTCGCGCGGCCTTTTAAAGCCCAAGCTCCCCTGCCCCCCTGCCCGGGTTTGGAGCCCTGAGGACGGCGAGGCACCGGTGGCCGGCTGCATGGATTTCGACAAGCCACCGGCACGTTTGGCTAGCCCTGGGCTGCGGGGAGTCGCTGGTCGAGAACTCCCTCCTGCAGGCTGGCCCGTCCAGGATTCCCACCCCTACTGCCCGCCCCACACTCCGGAGCGCGGGGGGGGCGGGGGGGGCTGGAGGGGCCATGAAGCACGTTAAGCTGGCGCTGAATCGGCCAGGTTGCACAGCAGAGGGACAGAGACGCTGGGCCGCAGGGAGCCCGGGATTCTGCGCCTTCCGGAACTGCGTGGAAGCGAGGGTTGCAGGTGGCCCTTTCGTTGCGCTGCAAGTGCTGCTTTTCATCCCTCTGGGAAGTGGCGGGCAGTTCCTCTCAGCCAAAACCATGAACCCTGCGGGGGTTTTGGCACCCCCAAACAACCGGGATGAGTGTTCATGACAGCTAACATGAGGAGGTGGAGGACGAGCGTGCAGGAAGTCTCCAGGTAACCAGCATCTGAGTCACAAACATTCGTCCTTATGAACAAACTACCATACAGCTTATTCCTTTAAAAATGCAAGTTAAGGCCAAACGGACCATAGTAACGAACGTGGGAACTAGTCTGCTGTGCTCGTGAAAATGTCCCGCAGCATCTGTTGCCCGTCACCTCGAGTGTGGCCAGCCTGGCTTGGGTCACACGCCGCCGGCATTGCCTTCCATACCTTCTATTATAGTGCCATTATGTAAGATAGTTCAGTGCATATGGAAATGTTTCATCCACATAGAAAGGTAAAATACATATGTGTACAAACAGTTGGCTTACTCATGCAAAATGTGACCTGTGTGTACGTGATCCATCCACAAATTCCACTCGCAGATGTTCTCTGGGACAGAACCTGGCTGCAGCCTGGTGCCTGCCTGCGCTTCACCGCCGGGGTCTGAGGTCGTGAGAAGAGCCAGACGCGGTCAGCAGGGCCCCTCCAGCCCAGCACACGGTTCCCCCGGAGGGCAGCCGGCTGCTCAAGGACTGCTCACGCACGCAGGGCAGGCCCAGCCTGCTCCAAGAGACGCGTGTCACCTGGGGCAACCAGGGCCAGTAGCCACGGATCGCCTTCCTTCCCCAGGCATTCGCTCAGTCTCCTCCGAAAGCGCTCTGGCTTGGTGGCCATCACCGCATCCTGTGGACCCGGATGCCACAGGGGATTCCACCTGCTGTGTGATCAGAGGTCTGCACGGCGGGGTCTGGCTGCCAGAGAAGACACCTGAGGACGTGCCCCCCGGACAGGCAGGCCGGGCTCATTCAGGGGACGGGGCCAGCCCAGGGCCACTGTATGCCGCAAATGCCGAGCCACCGGCCGGCCCGATGGCCACTGGCCTGAGCAACACTCCCCTCACACTCTGGTGCCCCCGATGTGCTTGACTGCGAGGCTCAGCGCTCAGCAGCTGGCAGGAACGCTGGGAGTCACAGCGCAGCCCCTTGGCAGCATCCCTGTTTGGGCAAGGCTGAAATTGGCTAGTACAAGCTGAGGAAGCGGAACGCTGCCTGGTGCCAGGGCAGCGCTGCCAGTGGGTGGAATCCCCTGCAGGGGCAGCTCTGCATCCCCCCCCCCCGCTGGCCCTGGGCCGCCAGTCTTCCAGGTTGTCCCGGGAAGGAAGGAAGGAAGGAAGGAAGGAAGGAAGGAAGGAAGGAGGAAGGAGCGAGCGGACTGGGGCGGGACTGGCAGGGGCGGGACTGGCTCTTCTGGAGAGCCCACGCCACTGCATGCCCCGGCCCCCCATCTGCTGAAAGAGCAGCCCGCCCCGCGCGAACAAAGGCCCGGGAGAGGTGTGGGCGCTGATCGACAAGCCGGTCCCCTCGCAGGCAGGCGCGAGGAGGAGGCGGAGGAGTGGGAAGGCCTTCCAGGGGGCAGCGCTTGCCATGGGAACAGCAAGGTTGCCAGTGGCGCCTGCAGCAGGGAAGGGCAGCGGGGGGGGGGGGCTTTGCTCTTGCAACGTGGGGGGGCAGCGGGGGCCAGGGACTCAGAAGTGCTGCTTCTGGGCTTTCTGCTTGGCAGCATGTGTGAGAGGGCAGTGGTAAAAAGCACCCGCTTGGGGCTGCGGGGCACTTGGCCAAGGTGCCTTTTCCAGGGGCAGAAAAGGTGATGCCTGCCGGCGAGGGGGCTGCTCCGTCTGCCCAGGGGAGGCTCTCGGTGCTGCCAAGGGCTTGCCAGACAAGGCACCCGGGGGCCCTCTGCCGCCCTCAGCCCACGCTCCCTGTGCTGGGGAGGCCATGTTTCCGGACGCCAGAGAGGCTCCCAGCCCCTGTAGCCCCCACACTGATCCTGCGCTTGCAAGCCCACCGGTGCAGGCTGGAAGCAGCTCCAGCCCTTTCCTGCCCCCGCCCCCTCTAATATCTGCTCTGCCTGCATCTGATACGGACCTTTGGTGGCAGCGGGAAGAGCCCCTGGGATGCCTTGCACTTGTGGGCTGCAGTTCTTAGCATCCTTGGCCATCGGCCATTTATTTGTTTTATTTATTTATTTTTCGATTTATATCCTGCCTTTTTCCTACAAAGGGCTCAAGGCAGCTTGCATCATTCTCCTCCTCCATCTAATCCACACAACAACCCTGTGAGGTAGGCTGGGCTGAGAGTCTGGGACTGGCCCAAAGTCGCCCAGTTGGCTCCATGGCCGAGTGGGGACTCGAACCCGGATCCTCTGAGTCCCAGTCCCGCGCTCTTCACCACTGCGCCACCCTGGCTCATGGCAAGTGAAGTCCAGACATCTGGAGGGCGCCAGGTTGAGGAAGGGTGATGTCCAGCAACAGGCCATGCTCCTGGGATGAGTTGGGAGAGGCTGGCATCTTGTCCGTCCACACCGGAGCCTGGAAAATGGGCCTCAGAGATGCAGAAAGTTCTCTTCAGCTGTGCTGGAATTCGCAAGCGGCTGCTGCACAGGAGGGCGGACTGCCCTGGAGCGGAGCTGGGCCAGAGTCCAGGTGGAAGTTTCGGGGGAATAGAAACGCCAGGACATGACCTGGGGGGGCGGATTACTTGCCACCACATCTTCCCATCGCTTGGCCCACATGCGAGGATGGTGGCAAAGCGAAGAGGGTTGCTCAGGAAGCCACGAGCACGGAAGGGACTGCAGGGCACCAGCCAGGCCCCTTGGGTGCAGCCCCATGCATGGGTGCGCAGAAGGAAGGCCTACGGCCCTGCCCTCCCCCCCCCCATGAGGGCTCCCTGGGGAGCACAGGAGGCCTCTGTCTGAACATGCCCAAAATGGCACCCAATTCTGCTTGCATCACCAGTGGAGAGGGGGAGCCGGCTACATTTTCCGCTCTCTGCCCTTGGATTGCAATGCTTTATTTCCATTTAACCTAGTGCACATGCCTACACCCCCTCTGGCTTTGTTCATCTCAAGAACGCGCCAATTTCTCTTCTGCATCCTGCCTGTCAAGGCCCCTGTGCCGAAGGGGTGTAAGGGCTGGACAGTATTTTTTTAATAGGGAAGGGGCCATGGGTTGTTTCCTGCTTCCGGTGGCCCCTGGGAGGGCTGCAGGCAGTGTCTGAAATGTGGCGCATACATGCTTGGGGCAGCGAGGCTGCCTGGCCAGGATCAGCGCCAGGTCCACCAGGTGCAGTGCGCTGGAACTGATGGGCCATGGAGGCTCTCCAGGGCCCCAGGCAGGAGGGCCTCTTCCTCCAGGGGATGCGGAGCATGGCTTCCCAGGCAGGGCTCCGCCTCGGAGCCACAGCTGCTCTCTCAGCGACAGCCTGACCCGAATGCGTGTAACATCCCCCGCTTTCCCTCTTAAGACTGTGGCCAACGGCCAGCCCGCAGCATCCACACCAGCCCCCTTCCTGCCCGAAGGCCCCCTTCTTGTCTTCTTTGCCATCTTGCCTGGTGAAGAGTCACGGCTCACACAGCTCTCTGGGAGCGTTGAGCTACTGGTGGTCTTCGGGTGGGAGCATCCTGGAAATGTTCGAACAGGGTTCCAGGCTATGCGACCCCATTAGGGTGCACACTAGGGTAGCGCCTTCATTAGGCAAATGGAAAGTCCACAAAAAAAGAGAGCCAGTGTGGCGCAGTGGTGAAGAGCCTGGGACTGGGACTCAGAGGATCCGGGTTCGAGTCCCCGCTCGGCCATGGAGCCAACTGGGCGACTTTGGGCCAGTCACAGTCTCTCAGCCCAACCTTCCTCACAGGGTTGTTGTTGTGGGGATAAGATGGGGAGGAGAATGATGTAAGCTGCCTTGAGCCCTTTGTAGGAAAAAGGCAAGATATAAATTGAAAAATAAATAAATAAAATATGGGCAAGCTTTTGAGATTCCAGATCTTGGCACTAGCTTTATATTGAAAGCGTGGCCAGATTCTGCAGGAGCGGTGGCAGTGGGGGCGGGGGGGGAACCAACCTTCACAGGAGGCTCCCTCAAGACTGCAGGGAAGAAGAAAGAAACCACAGCTCATCCCCCATTTCTGAGAACAGAAAATGCAGGTGTTGCTCAGAAATTATTATTATTATTATTATTATTATTATTATTATTATTATTATTATTATAGCATTTCTATGCCGCCCCTTGCCGAAACCTCGGGGCGGCTTACAACATGATAAAATACATTGAAATGATTTCCACCCTTGGACAAAACCCTGCAGTTCCACACGAGGAGGCGAAACAGGGCGGAGAGCCACTGGGTGGTTCTCAGGTGAACCCAGCTGGATGGAGAGGGAAGCAGCAAGGGAACCCTCAGAGGGTGAAGTCCCGGGTTCAGCTGGCAGGAGTCCCTAACCGCCAGCCTCAGGCCCTGCTCTTGAACGGCAGCGCTTGGCATTCCGACCTTGCACAGAAGACAGTGGTAACTGCTAGCTATGGGCACGTTCCAAAGTCCGTATTGGGGTAACACCTTTATTAGAGCAGCTCAAAGGTCACTAATAATTGCGCAAGCTTGCAAGAGGCCCAGATCTCTTCGTCGGGCAGGATGGCCACCCGGGTGGCCACCTCCCTGCACTTTGCATTTAGTCCAGCCGGTCAACAGCCCAAAGGCTTCTGCTCAGCCTGACCGCAGCGAGAGGGTCCCCCAGGCCACCTGTGGCCAGGCCCCGCACTGCTCTCCTGCTTGCTCCGAGGAGGGCGCTAGGCTGGCCGAGGGCAGGCCTTGGGTGCAAGCTCAGGATTGCCGCGGTCCCGGCGCACCCGGTCCTTCCTGCCCGAGCGGCTCCCTGCCCCACGGGAGATCGTGGGGCCCCAGGAATCCAGCCTGCCCCACGGCCCGTGCTCCGGCAAATGCGGCCCCCCCCGCGCCCGGGCACCGCATGTGCCTGGCGGCTGATGCCAGCGCAGAGCGGGGGGATGCTCCCGGCGCGTCCCGCCGGTTCCCGCGACGCGCAGCCCGGGCGGGCCGCTCGCGCCCTTTCCCGCACCGCGGGCTGATTGGCTCGGCTGGCGGCGGCGGGGGGAGGCGGCTCGGAGCGCGGGGGGGCCGTCACTGCAGTGCCGGCGGGCGGGAGGAAGGGAGCGCTGCTCAGCGCGGCTGCTAAGCGCTGCGGAAAGGCGAGGAAGCAACACGTGCGGCGGCTCCGGGGCGGCTGCTGGCGGAGCGCTCTTCCGCGCGTGGCGCACGCTCCCCGCAGCGTTGCGGGAGCCGGAGCCGGAGCCGGAGCGAGGGAGAGGGGGCGCCAGCCGGCCTGCCGGCCAGCCGGGCTCGCCGCGGCTCCAGCCGCCGACTGAGAGGTAGGTCGCCCGCGCGCCGGAGGGCCGGCAGGGCGCGGGGCTGGACCTCCGGACCAGCCCGCCGCCCCTGCGCCAGCCCCGCGTGCGGCTTCCGAGCGCCGCTGCCCGGCCTTGGCCAACCACCTGTTCGCCGGAGTGGCCAGCGTGCGAGCGAGGGAGGCAGGGAGGGGGCGGGCGAGCGGGCGGGGGGGGGGCAAGCCGTGGTCTCTCCATAGAAACGCAGCTGCAGCCCTCCCCCAGCCGAGGGGCATCTGGAAGCGGGAGCGGCCCAGGGCGGGAGGGAGACGCGCCCGCCCGACTTGGCTCGGTGTTTACGACTGGAGGGCAGAAAAGAGGAACCGCTTTCCGGGGCGGGGGCAGGGGCGGCGGCGGGGGCGGCGGCAAGACCCGCAGCGGGCGAGCGGGCCAGGTCGGCCCCCCGCCGGGGCGAGGGTCTTTTCTCCTTTGGAGCCCACGGGGGTGCCCGTCTCAAAGCTGCCCCCCTCCGCACACAGGTGAGCCACCAGCGGGCCCCGACAGCCCCTTCCCCACCAGCTGAAGATGGCCGAGAAGCTGGCGCCCCCGCGGGAGCTGTTCCTGCGCAAGGGGCGCGAGTCCGTCTCCTCCCTCGACGTGGACCGGCTGGCCCCGGGTGAGGCGGCCGGCGAGGAGTCCTCGGACAGCGATGGCGAGCAGGAGGGCAGCTCCCACAAGCTCATCCGCAAAGTGTCCACCTCCGGCCAGATGAGGAGCAAGGTAAGGGCCAGGAGGGCTGGCCACCCCTTGCGGGGAGACGAGGCGGCTCCCATCGGCAGGTGTCCAGGAACACCACTGCCTATGCCGGGGCAGATGGGATTCCGCCGTGCAAATGCGCACTGAGGTCTGCGGTGGGGCGGCTGAGGCAGAGGAATGGCCCCCTGGCTGGGAGTCCCGCGTGGGCCTGACGGCTCCCCCACGGCTGCCGTGGGGGCCCGGTGCAATTTCCGTGGTGCCTGTTCTCTGGCGGTTGCCCTGGCAGGCGCAGCTGGCTGCTCCATCAGGGTTGGGGTTCCGGAGGCGCCTGCAGGCTCCGGTGCCCAAGCCCTTCTGGAAGGCAGGCGAGAAGGCCCAGCAGTCTGGCTCCTGCCGTATCCATCATGGTTCAGGCCACAGCTCATGGCTTTTCCAAAGTATCCAGAGCCGGACGTGGTCAAGGCAGGACAGGGCCTGGTGGCATGGCGGCCGGCTGGGTCAGGCCGACTTCAGCCCCTGGGGGTCCCAGCAATGGACGCTCAGCCCCTGTGTGTCAGACCCCAGGAGGAGGGCCTCCTCAGAGGAGGGGCGGGCCCCGGGCCCCTGTGTCTGGCTTTTTGGGCTGTACTGACCTCCAGTTCTCCTCTAAATGGAGAACTTAGGGTCACTTAAATAAAACCTGCCATAAAACGTCCTACAACAAGCCCGGATTGGAAGGGCCCCAGATTGCACTCCTCCATTTTACTGCTGCCGATTTAAAAACCAAATGGCTGTTCTGGAGAGCTCTTGGTCACCAGGGCAAAGTCTGCAGGCTGTTTTTTGTGATGCTTTCCCTTCACGGAGGAACACACATGTTGTGCTGGAAAGCAACATGCAAGTGGGGTTGTGTAGGGACGGTGTGTGGGCAGAAAATCCGGGCGCTGTGTGCTCTTGCTTCTGGATCTGCAAGGGTAAAGTGTGCTGAAGCCTCATCTCCCGGTAGCGTTTCCCTTGGAATTTTCTCTCAGCGGCACAAGTGCACAGGTGAGAGCTCAGCAGTCCTGCCATGAGAGGAAGGCGCAAAAGCCAGGCTGGTTCTGGTGAGGGATGCAGGCAGCTAAGAGGAAAGCAGCCAGGCAGAGATGTTTTATTGTTTCTTGGAGACAATAGGGAGAAAAATCAATTCTCAAGCCATTACAAAAATTAGCTGACGTGCATTCTCTGAAATCCATCTCCAGCGAAAGCTTGACACCGCCAGGGTGGCTGACAAGCGATCAGTTGGTTACGTGCACAGGGCCCACTCTGCAGCTCCTCTTGCAGGGCTGGGAGGCCCGTCATCCTCTGGGGCCCGTGTCGGACCCGGCTGGGAGAAGGATGCTCTGCCCTTTCCGTGTCTCTGAAGCCGTGGCTGCAGTGGCCGAGGAGCCGGCGCGTGGTGGCAGCTGGCCAGAGGTGGGTGGCCAGGGGGCAGCCCGGTGGCGTGTTGCTGCAGGTGGGCGGATGAGGCCTGAGGCGCTGGGCGGCAGCGCGGGCCGTGCTGCAAAGGAGTTGCACGGGGCGAAGATGCCAGGGAAGCTGGCCAAGCAGCAGCCGGGGAGTCGGAACACGCCGAGCTCATTCCCTAATGGCATTTTCAGTCGCATCCGTAGCCTGCCAGAGCACCTCCTCTGAATGGGATGGAGCCGGCTGGCTCTCGGTGCTGTGCAGGGCCCTCTGGGGCCAGGACTGGCTGCAGCGATTCTGCTGCCTGAGGCAAAGGCAGGGCGACACCCCTGTGCCCCAACCCCACATGCAGGAGCCAGGCTGCACAGGACGGTGCCCTCGCCGCGCCTGAAGGAAGGAGCCTAGCATAGGAGCAACGCACCGCTCCTGCGGCCGTGTTCTGCGGCACTGTGCCGCCCCAGCTCCTGCCGCCTGGCTCTGCCCAAGGCTGGCCGTGTTCGGCGCCACGGGGCAGCACGCAGCTGGCTCTCCTTTGCACCCAGGGCAGGCTGCAAGAGGGCAGTGGAGAGTTACTGTCCTTAAGGCCAAACCCAGGTAAGCAACCAAACCAGCCTGGCTCAGCATCTTCTGCCCCCACCTGTTTTACTCTCCCGTCTTTCTTTTGCTTCTCCCCAAATAATGCCTCATGTTGCCGGTCACACATTTAGCAGGGGAAGCAAGTTCCAACAGTGCACTGAGGTTCCAGCAGCTTTTCACAGAGCAGAAGCCACCCGGGGCTCATGGCCACCCCATGGGGAGACCTGCGTTGCTCTTGGGAAGAGCCTTGCCATGTTCATGCTCCAGCCCCCGAGGGCTTGGCCCCAGTTTCTTTTCTGAAGCTTGCTGGATGCGCGGTGGACCTCCAGTTCTGGGTCCACACAGATCTCAGCGTGGCTGCTTGCTAGATCTTAACCCAATTTCCTCCAGATGATTCAGCCTACAACTCCCATCAGCCCTTACCAGCATATCCTATGGGGGGGGGTGATGCTGGGAGCTGTAAATCAAAATGATGGGAGGGCCACAAGAAGCCCCCGCTGCTGAAACCCCGCAGGGCACCATGGCTTTCAGAAGAGCCCTTGTCCTCTCAGCTAAATGGCTCGCGACATGGGCAAGCAGAGCGGCTCAGAGAGCAAGTGTGGCGTTGGGGGTCTGCCTCCGGTGCGGTGACTGCTGGATGGACACCTGCCTTGGATGGAGGGGCTCCCTGCCACGCCTCCTTCTCGGGCATGTCGGGCGAGGGCTGCAAGCACCGGCCTGTCCTGGCCCAGGGCCCAGAGCTCCCCGGGGGGCTCGGCATCCCGGTCCCTCTGCCATGGCGCACGCCGGTCCCGCTCGCCTCGCCCAAGCCAGTGCGCTCCAGAGGACCTGCCTGGCTTGCAGCGGGTTGGCCCCTCTCGGGTCAACGGCGCCTGCTGGTGGGAAGGGGGTGGCTTCCCGCAGGACTCGCTGGGAATGCCGGGTGGGCCCGGGCCGGGCTGCAGAGAAGCTGTTGCAAGGACAATGGAGCCGTTCCAGAGGAGGCTGCAGTGCACCCCGAGGCCGCCTGAGGCCAGGACACAAGCGGAAGGGGACGTGCAGGGGAGCTGCCCCGCGGGCCGTCTTGTCACGCGAACTGGGCCAGTGCCTCTCCTGGGTCTGAAGCCGGCAGCGCAGGCCAGCTTGCACCCACTGAGTGATCTTTACTCGAACGACAAAGCCGCACCTCTCCAGCATACCTCAGCAGCATCCTTTTTCTCTGAATCTCTACCACTTGCCCTGCCTTGCGATTTCAAGGCTCCATGTTCATTCCTGAAGTGCCATTACAGCTGCTGAAGCCTTGACATTCTCACCAGGTGAATGCACTGATCTTAGCAGAATCCATGGCTGGCACTCTGCCTGCTGCAAAGCATTGGTAGAAACATTTCCCCGTATTTTGAGAGTTAATACTTCCCTGCCCAGAGAAGCCCCAGCAAAGCCAGGGTGGATATGTGGCCAGAGGGACACTGGTGCCCCTCATGGCTGCCACAAAGAGGAAGGTCAAGATCTCTTCTTGCTGATGCCAGAGTGCAGGACACGGAATAATCCACTCAAGTTGCGACAACCCAGATTCAGGCTGGACATCAGGAGAAGCTTCCTCGCTGTCAGAGCGGCATGACAGTGGAACCAGCTGCCTGGAGAGGTGGGGGGCCCTCCCACACCAGAGACCTTCAAGGTGAAACTGGGCAGCCCTCTGAGTGGGACAGTGTAACGTGGCGTCCTGCAATAGCAGGGGGTGGACCCGAGGGCCTTCGTGGCCCCTTCCAACTCTACTCTTCTATGATTCTATGGGGCAAAGCAGGAAGTCTGGCAAATGCTGTCACTTTTTGTGCTCTTTACCATCCCTGGCCTCCAGAGACAGCTCCCAGCCAGTGCTTTCGTCACCAGAATGGCAGAAGATGCTGCGTGTGGTGTTGGGAGCAGAACCTGGTATCCTTCTTCTGGAATTACTACTCCACCCGGCGGCTGCCTTTTCTGTGCAGAGCTCCCAGCAATGTGGTGAAAATGGCCCAGATGCCCATGCACAGCTGTTGCTGGACGGCACCGTGCCTTCATTCTCATTCACCACAGCACAAGGTGCTATCAGACTTCCAGCTCATATTAAAAGCCTAATGAATTCCCATTTTACTAGTCCTTTTCTAAACCAGCTTTTCCCAGCCCAGGACCCTGCAGGTGCGTTTGACTCCGAGTGGGACTGCCAATGGCCAGGCCATGATGGGAGACACAGGCTAACATGACTGGGGGACACCAGGTTGTGGGAAGTGGCTTTTCCTTGACCAAAAAGTCTGACTCCTTGTACTTTTCTGTGCGGAGGAAAGGTTGCCTGTGGCTGCTTTCCAAACCTTTTCCAGCTATATGGCTTTTTATTGTTGCAGAGTAAAGGATGCATGGTATTCCAAAGGTGATCACACCCTACATGCGTAATGGCGCCAACTGTTCTATTTTCACGTCTTTTTTGATGAAAAGTAACAGGGAATTTATTGCAAACTGAGATACATTTTTCATTGAAGAGGCCACTGTGATTCGGAGCTAAAACAGCCAAGTGGTCCTTATGAGTCTTGATGCTTATATGAAATGAGAACTCCTGCCCTAATGAGCATCGATGTCCGTGATGCCGTTTGGTCACCTGCTCACCGGGTTGGAATTCTTCCCAGTCCGCTCCGAAATAACCGGGTGCTGCCTGCAAGGGTGGCGGCTGCACGGCTCACTCCACACGCCGGATCACTGAGCGTCACCTCAGCCACACCGGCTCCAAGTGCAGCCCCTCCGGGATCTCCTCTGTGGCCTTTCTGGCTTCCACCAAGAAGCCTTCTGAGTCTTCCTCTCCTCAGCTCCATTTCCTTGAACCCGTCAGGACCTCCGGGCATCCCATGATCAGCAAGTGTGCATTGACCTATTTGTACAGCTAAGACTGACCCAGAAAACATCATAGACTGTGGCTTCTGAAATGCTTGACGTTCTTGAAGAATTTCAAAGATGGATGAAGTAGAACATCGTAGCAGAAGAGGCTGACGCTTCCTCAGTGAGAGCAGATCTTGCTTTCACAG